ATACAGAGTCATAATAATGAGATACAGAGTCATAATAATGAGATACATAGTCATAATAATGAGATACATAGTCATAATAATGAAATACAATGTCATAATAAAGAGATACAACGTTATAATTATACAAAGTCATAATTACAACCTTCAAAGTCATAATTATACGAAGTCATAATTATACAAAATCACAATAGAGATACAAAGTCATAATAATGAGATACATAGTCGTAATGATGAGATACAGTCATAATAATGAGATACAAAGTCATAAAAATTAGATACAGTCATAATAATGAGATACAGAGTCAAAATAATGAGATACAAAGTCATAATAATGAGTTACAGTCAAAATAATGAGATACATAGTCATAATAATAAGATACAAAGTCATAATAATGAGATACAGAGCCATAAAAATGAGATACAGAGTCCTAATAATGAGATACAAAGTCATAATAATGAGATACAAACTCATAATAATTACATACAGAGTCATAATAATGAGATACAACGTCATAATAATGAGATACAGAGTCATAATAATGATATACAAAGTCATAATAATGAGATACAATGTCATAATAATGAAATACAGAGTCATAATAATGAGATATAAAATCACAATTATACAAAGTCATAATACTGAGATATAGAGTCATAATAATGAGATACAATGTTATAATAATGAGATACAAAATCGTAAAATGAGATACAATGTTATAAATTTACAAAGTCATAATTTCAACTTTCAAAGTCAAAATTTTACAAAGTCATAATTATACAAAGTCATAATTATTCAAAGTCATAATAATGAGATACAGTCATAATAATGAAATACAACATCATAATAATGAAATACAACATCATAATAATGAGATACAGAGTCATAATAATGATATACAAAGTTATAATAATGAGATACAAAGTTATAATAATGAGATACAGAGTCATAAGAATGAGATACAAAGTCATAAGATTGAGATACAGCGTCATAATAATGAGACATAATGTCATAATAATGAGATACACCGTTATAATTATACAAAGTCATAATTTCAACTTTCAAAGTCATAATTATACAAAGTCATAATTATACAAAGTCATAATAGAGATACAAAATCATATTAATGAGATAGTCATAATTATACAAAGTCATAATGAAGAGATACAATGTCATAATAATGAGATAAAAAGTCATAATTATGCAAAGTCATAATTATACAAAGTCGTAATAGAGATACAAAGTCATATTAATGAGATACAAAGTCATAATTTCAACTTTCAAAGTCATTATTTTGACTTTCATAGTCATTATTTTGACTTTCAAAGTCATAATTATACAAAGTCATAATAATGAGATCTAAAATCATAATAATGAGATACAAAATTATAATTATACAAAGTCATAATAATGAGATACAAAATTAAAATTTGGCTTTTTTAATGCATTGCAGTCCTGGAAGGGAAGCATATCGCTCACTGCCTTGCATGTCAAATTTTAAATAAAGTTAGTGTCTGATCTGTTTGAGCTTGGAGTATGAATTGTCACTACCACATCTAACGTTAGCTCAAAATCTGTCAAATTTAATTGTTTTGCAACACGTTTTTTCTTTTCTATTGTTGCTTAACTGAAGTGGCCACCTTAAACTGGGTTGACCCCTAAAGTTCATCAATTGTAAGTGTGCATCTAATTATTTGTTTTATTAAAATCTATTGAGTGGTTGATAAGATATTTTGTTGACAAGCTGCTTGGGTCGACTACAATAAAGTCAAAGTTTTAAACAAAGTTCTTGTGGACTCTGCCAGTTCTTGCATTACAGCTGAGAGATGGTTCCTATCTATTGTACCAAAGTTCAATTTGAAATCTGTAAAACTGACTGATTTGTTGCCATTTGGGGTTTTTCCCGTGTTTGTTAGCTCTAGTGGCTATTTTATGGGTTGGGGCCTAAAGTTAATTAGTCGTAGCACATCCAGTGATTTTTATTGTTTTTAAGAGTTATCCATCCACTCATTTATGAGATAATTTGCTAACAGACAGACAGGGCTTATTGTAACAGTTAATGCCAAAGTTTTAAACAAAGATCTTGTGCAATCTGTTAGTAATTGAAACATGTGTTGAAGATGATTTTCAACTACCATCATGTCAAACTTTAGCTAGATTTCTGTAACATTGCTTGAGTTATTGCCATATTTGTGCATCACATGATCACTTTTTGAGATTTTCATTATAATCCATCCTGTGGTTTATAAAACCTTTTTCAAACAGAACAACACACACACACCAGCGGGCAATGACTATCTCTGATTGTTCCATTGTATGCTCTGTATAAGCTTTAAACTGAGATTAAAAGCACGACACAAGAAAACTACAGTTCCCAAATGTTTCATGTTCATTTGAATAAGTTTACATTGATGTAAAAAGTACTGACATTTTCCAATTCTAATCGCCTGTCGCAGGAGTCCCTTCTGTGTGTACCTAATTGTTAGAGTAAGCCCTGGTCTGTCTCCCCCCTTTAGTCCTCCCCTCCTCACACCCCTGTTCGGAGTGTGGGGTCATGTAGGGGTGAAGCTCCCGGTACCTCAGGAGGTTATTCAGAAGTCAAGCCTGGCTGAGGCATTCACAGCGTTGAACTGCAGAGCAGGCAGACCCTCCGTCAACGCCGGGCTGCTGACCACTAAGCGGGCCCTTTGGGGCTAATGGGGACGAGGACACCCCCACGACCACCCCCACCCTTCATCCTTGTAACAGCGACCCATAAAGGAGCACAGGAGGATGCTAACCAAGATGAATGGCATTTTTTTTCTCAGCTCATTCTGCACTAATCAGAGCTTTTCATTTATTAGGGCCTCACGCCGGCCCCTTTGCTGCAGCTTCCATTAGGGCCAGATATCATATAAATTCATTAAAGTCAAAGAGGGGCATTCAAATGATCATTTCTCAGGTCTGCTTTTGTGTGTCCCTGGTGGCACATGGTTCAAGACACTCATATGATTTTTGTAAAGGTTTTATTTTATTTTATTTTATTGTGCTGCAGTGCATGACGAGAAAAATGTGGAAACAACAAAATCGAAAAGGAATTTTCCACTTTTTGTTGATGGCGTTTCATTGTTAAATCTGGTTGAGCGTTCACACTGTTGTTTTTTCTGGTTTTATGTTTTTATGTGTTTTGCAATCTAACTGTTTTTCTGTCCTTGTGCTGTTTGAGCTATTCATGAGAATCAAAATGTTCACGTCATTCAGCTGAAGGTTTTGATTTGAAATATTTCGATTTATTCAACTTTTTTTACACACTTTCCCCATAAAAAGTGAGTAAAAATTCCTCCAAAAACATTTTTTCTTTGTGAAATCTGCTATCTATTGCTTTTAGCTACCATTCTACTTTGCGCTTTTAGACTTTTTTTCTTCTACTAGTGTATCGTTAGCTTTTAATACTTGAAGCCTGCAGTTTGCAACTTTTAGCTTCTAGCTACATGTTGATTCTTTTAGCTATGTGTTGATATTTTTTTGTTTTTAGCTAGCCTTTAGATTTTAAGGGGGTCGAGATGGGACAGAGGTAGGGCAGTCGACTTGGGACCCAAAAACCCCAGGCTTGATCCCCACATGTTGTGGTGCCTCTGAGCAAATCACCCAATCCCAAATTGTTCCCCAGGCACCCCACATAGCTGCCCACTGCCCCACCTGGGTGCATTCTAGGTGCAATGGGTTAACTGCAGATAACTAATTTAGCTATTGTATGAGAACATACAATTATGACAACATATAGAACTTTATTATTATTATTATTTAGCCTTTTGCTACTTATACATTTAAATAACATTTTGCTGCTTTTAAATAGCATTTTCTTCTCACTATTAGCTAGCCTTTAGTTTCATTTGTTTCTAGTACGCCCTTGATCATTTTAACAAGCCTTTAGCTAAATCTTTTTGCTACATTTAGCTTTATGCTACTTTGGCTTTTTACTATTCTTTTGCTACAATGTCCTGTTGATTATTATCCCTTTACTTTTTTTTGTTTGTTTTCTTTTAGCTAGCATTTGCTATCTTTAGCTTTTAGATGGCCTTACACTACTTTAAGTTACTAAGGGGGAGAAGTGGCGCAGAGGTTAGAGAAGGTTGGCCTGTGATCAGAAGGTCACCGGTTCAACTCCGTGCACCAACAACATCAAAATGTGGGTGGGTGAAATGTGGAAAGGTGAAACACACAAACCTGCCTCCACTCTCGTCTCGACCCACCCTGGGCCCTCGAGCAAGGCCCTTGACCCCCACCACCAGATAGCACCACTGCTCCACACAGAGGGCTGTGGTAGCTCGGTGGTCTGTGGTTGTGTCAGGAAAGGCATCTGGCATAAAAATAATTGCCAAGTCTTCCTGCAAGTTAACTAACTTGCTGTGGTGACTTCTGAAGAAGGGAGCAGCTGAAAGAAGAAGAAGGGGGAAAAAACTTGTAGTTACTATTGTGCTACTTTTAGCTTTTGGCTAGGTGTTTTCTTCTTTTAGCTTTTCTGTTCCTTTTAGCTTTAAAAACTAGCCTCTTTATCAAATTTTGCCAGTCTTTCAGTATGCGGGGTTCACGCTGCATTTTCACAGTTCTTTTAGTATTTTATGAGACATATATGAAAAGAAACTGCTGAACAAACCGCCCCAATCTACATTTATACTTTTCATTCATCATTGCATAGTTTCCAGTTCCTTATCACCTTGATTTCTTTTATGTCAATTACAGCAGATGTTTTATTTAGATAATCCAGTTCATCCATCAACTTCAGATTGCAGCTCCCCCACTCCACAACAAATTCAGAGTGAAGCAGCTCTAATCCCATTGTATTCACAGCCCTGTTCCCACCAAACAATGTCCCAAAACTTAATCCCAAACCAAGCTCAACAAACCTGTAGGCCACCTGCTTGCAAGTTACTGGGCAGCTAAAAAGGCTAACAAACTAATAACAAGTGCCAGTTTTAAGACACCTTTAACATAATTTTTGTACAGTCATGCTCCAATAAATAAACGTGCATCCAATAAATATGAATAAATTGTATCGGTTTTGGGCCAGTCATCCCGTTTCTGGCTTATTTTTTGGTTTTCTGGATGAAGTTTCTGTTAGCGTTGTCATGGGAGATGACTCCATCTGCCTCCACTGTCAGTAACCCATCTCCACGCTTTATCAGAAGGAGCTGCGCCACCCCCCACCTTCCAGAACCCTCTTCACCACTCTGACAACCCACCCCCTTCTCTATACATAAGCCTGAGATGATAAGTGTCCTGACTCTTTGTGTGAGCAGGAATAAGACAATGCCCCACAGCACTGCAGAATATCATCCATCTCACAGGGTCATCAATCTGGCACACAAAAGATGAAATGTGGCTCATGCTCCCGTTTTGCAAAGCGGTTTCCTATTTGCTTAGCGATTACTTGTTTTCCGAACTATTTTTCAAGGAATTCCTCTCAGTTATGGCCACGCATGAGGAAAGTAGTTAAAGCACATACGTATACCAAAACAAAACCCAAACATGTGTCCAGTCTTTCAACATCAGTAAATGTCATTTAGCCTTTAAAAAGTCTGATTGAAAATTAAGTCAAACCCCCAAAGTGTCTTGACTTGAAGCCTCAGCCAATTTGGTGTGAATTAAAAGCCACACAAGTAACATTGTCTACCTTCTGTTTTACTCCTCTGCGCCTAATTAGATCGACATCGTCCCAAAACCAGCATGAAGCTTTAATTTTCCTTTGTTCACATCCTGTTAAAGCAGCACGCTTTCACTTCATTTAAGAGCGGGTTATCAGTAACGCAGTTTTAACAAGCTAACCCAATGTTGACATTTAAGAATCAATTTGTGAAAAACTATTTTCATGTCCAAAAATTAATCAACAAGAGTCTGTTTCTGTAGCTTTTATCTCACTTCTTTTTAATGGTTCCTTTAGTTTTAAAGTTTGGATTGTCCCGAGTAATTTGATGAACAAAAACTCAAACTTCCTCTCAGGGTAAATGTTCAGATGGTTATATTTCTAACAAAAGAGGTCGCACAGATTGTAGAACAATGCAATCAAAAGCCTTAATCCTTTTTACTCTAATGTGTCATGAACCGTTCAGCTAACGTATCAGGTTAACCTGTTATTCTACTGTCTGTGTATCTCTCAGGAGCTTTACACACAAACAACACGATGAGCCCTGGACTGACTGAAAAAAAACCATTTTTTTACGAAACACTCCAGTCAGATGCTGTCATTATGGATACTTCAAAGTAAACGTGCATGTTTTTAGGACATATGGACACCATAGACGCTAACACTGCACAGACTCAAACAGTAATTTTGTCAACAAACATTTAAATCACTGATGGTTCAAGAGACTAAATTGCTGGTTGAGTTTCAGATTGTTGCTGCAGCTTGACTTCAGCCTCCAGGCAGATGGTTGACCTTTACATTAGCCTTCACCTTGCAGTAATAAGTTAAGACCGACTAGGGGCTTGTTCTTTTAAAAAGGCGCTGAACCAGACCACCTCAGGTTAATCTCACTATGGCCTGAAATGCCCATAAGGAATTAAGCTCAGTGTACACCTGCTGCTGATTTTAACGCACAATATCTCCTGTCTACTTATCTGAAAAACATAAAGTCAAAGAAAATGTACCCAAGCTTTTTAATTATTTATTTATTTCCCTGTTTATGATTCTTGTCAAATAAAGAAAAATGCATGTTTTTGCAAGTGTTTTCTTAAAAAAAAAAAAAAAAAAAGTTTTATGCTAGTGTCATGTTGAAATTACTGTATATTCAATTATATCTCATTTATATGTGACAAACTTTTTTTCATGTTTATTAACACTTACAGAAAGACACATTTAAACAACGCTAATATAAACCAGAAGATTTAACTCCGTGTTGTGACACCTCCTGGAAGAATCTGTTGACTCCATCAGACACAGAATACTGTGTTGGTCTAATTGTAAATCCACACTCCTTGTGTAAGTCAGTGTCATTACTGTTGTGCATACTTTTCTGTATATTTAATTTGTATTACCTTTTCAAATATTCTACCATCCCATCTAATTTCTCTGAACAATGGAAAACGTTTTAGGTATTCAGTTTGACTAACAGATATCCCACATCCCTGAAATATAACTTCTGCTTTTAATGTTCACATTGATTAAACTTTGTTGCTCTACATCAGAACAGACTATTCTGTGAACATATTGTTGTATTGGATGTAACTGGGACCCTGTGTACATAATTTTGCTCCACCACATGTACCACATGAGGTGCGAATGACAATAAAGAATCTCTGACTCTCTGATATTGTGCACCCCGATGAACAAAGCATGTTTGTGTGTAATTTGGCAAAATGACCAATCACAATTCAAGGTCCACTATTTGTCTTTGGTACAAATAATGACAACGTTTTAGAGAAATATAAAAAGTCACTAAGAGTGAACTTTTAATTGTGCAGAAATTTGTGGAAATCATGCAGTGTTCATATTTTGTTTACTCGTTATGCAAGTAAAAATATGGCCGTATATTTACCCCTAAAATGTTAGACATTTTAAGATTCCTTATAAATTACTTGTCAAAGTCGGGGACAGTAATAGTTGAGTCATTTCACATAGCCTACATAATGACCTCTTCTGTGAAGCCAGCTGTACTAGTGTTCCCCCTTGTGGCTCATGGAGGTAACTGCGTTTCAATTGCTTGTCCCTCGGAGGCACCCGTAGGTGTACAGTAAAGATAGACGTGTATTTACGTGAAATGGGCAGTCTCCCTCAGAACATTTTGTCTGTGATGTAAGTCGTCGTTTAGTTCGCAATTTGTTTAAAAAATCACTCATGAATTTAAAAGAGAATGGCATTCGATTTAAAGTTAAACTTGGAAAATTATCAACAAACGTCAATGATGGATAGCGAAGCAGGCGCCTTGTCCTTCGATCAGGGAGCAGACTGGGGTAAGAAGGCTGATTTTTTTTCTCCAACCTTATGAAGCTGAGCTAGCAGCAGATAGGCACTCTGAATAACTAACTCGTTTTAACAATTTATTACCGAACTACTAGTAGCTAAGTTGGACATTGACGTTGTAAGGCTGGTTTCGGCGTTATTTAAGTTTCATCTAGCCTGTTAGCGTTAGCTAACTGTGGACGCTGATTCGGAAACCTTACGCTCGCCCAAATCTAGAGTGCTCGATTACAACAACCTTTACGGCTGCATGTCTTGACGTGTATTAAAAGTTGATTATTTTTTTTTTTTTTAAACCCCACAATTTATTTTCCTCAAACTTGGTAGTAAACATCCTTTAAATGAGTAGTGTTGAACACAAGTCAAAAAGTTTAGTGGCAATATTTGTTTTTGTATTTCTTTTGCCCTTAATCACAAGCAGCACAGTCACCTGACTCTCTGTGTTAAAGTGCATTAAAATTTTAATGCGTTTAAAACCCCACAGCTGAGTTTCCTCAAACTTGATAAGAAACGTGCTTTAAAAGTGTGGCGTCAAAGTAAGAAAATCTACGTAAAATGTTGCTATTTTTGTACGTTATTCGCCTTTGAACGGGGGCGGGACATACGTAACGGCGCATGCGCAAATACAACCCAGCCGTAAAGGCGGTTATTATAGAGCACTCTGGATTTGGGTTTACCGCAGTGAACATTAAGTACTATTCAGTGTTTAGACTTGAACACGATCCTTAAAAGCACTTTATTTTAACATAAATACATTTTAATTTATCACTCCCAGCATTGTCATCATAATAATCATGTTTGTTTTTTTTGTTATGCAGTGGTGCTATGATGCAATACTAATGTAACTATTTACATTAAGAAGTGTATATTCACATAATTTAAGATTAAGAAGAAAAATATGAGTGAGACTGTTTCTGTAAAACTGGTGGATGAAAATGACAAGTCTTGATGAAAGCAGCACAAAACACAGTGTTTACTCTAAATAGTCAAATTTATTGGAGTTTATTGAAGTGAGTGAAATGAGACGTTAGCGCAATATATAAACAAATCTTCAGTTTTGTCTGGATGTTAAGATCAGATCTTGATTTTAGGTTTTGACTCGCTTTACATACCTTTCAGGTTTAAAGATAATGTATTAATAAATTATCTACATTGTTTAGTAACAACAATTTTTAAGACACATGACATAACATTATCTTAAAAGTGGTCAGGTTTTGCAGCAAACATCTGCTTTATTTTCACTGTTCTAACTTATAAATAGTTTTTGAATTTTATTAATGCAGGAGTAGGAAAAAACAAATTGTGGAAAAATGTGACCCACCAAACCTTATTTTTTAAATGAGTCATAAAAAGGGTATGAGTTTTTGCACTAAGCAGCAAACGTGTTTACAACCTGCAATATGATGACTGCATGAAGTCAAACAAACATCAAGTGGAAAATAAAACGGTATGCTGTGCAGTTCTAGTTTATTGAGTAGGTTTGGTTTGCTTCTTACAGCTCGTGTCAGCTCAACCATGGCCCAAATTAAATAAACCAAAAATCTGCTCTAAAAATATAAATAGTAAAAATCTTATTAAAATAAACACAGTTACCGGTACTTTACAAGAATAAAATCATTAAATGTGGATTATTGAACATCAGATTTATTTCCTCTAAGTCTGTTAGTTAATGAACTGATAACTGATCATCATCATTGATTTATTCTGTCTGACAGAAACGTGGCTACAACAAGAGGATTTTGTTAGTTTCAATGAATCCACTCCTGTTAATTATTTTCATTTTCATGTTCGTAGAACAACAGGTCGAGCTGGAGGAGTCACTGCCATGTTTCAGTCAGGATTATTGATTAATGCTAAACCAATTATTAGTTATAATACTTTTGAGCCGTTGTCCCTTAGTCTTTCTCAACCAAAATGGAAATCAGAAAAGCCACTTTTACTTGTTATATATCGTCCACTACGCCCTTATTCTCATTTTTTTGTCTGAATCCTCAGATTTTCTTTTGTCCGATTTACCACTAAATACTGATAAAGTCATAATAATGGGTGATTTCAATGTTCATGTAGATGTTGAAAGTGATAGCTTAAGCAAAGCCTTTAATAATTTAATCGAGTCAGTTGGTTTTACCCAAAATGTCAGAACATCTACTCATTCTCATCATCACACTCTTAATCTGGTTCTGATTTATGGCATAGAGATTAAGTACTTATTAATACATCCTCAAAATCTTGTTCTGTCTGATCATTGTTAATAATCTTTGAGTTTACATTAAATGACTACACAGTCACTGAGAGTAAAGTTCATCTTAGCAGGTGCTTATCAGAAAATGCTGTAGCCAAATTTAAACAATCTCTTCCATCAATGTGTTCCTCTGTCTTGCAGAGTAATGCATCAAAGAACAGTGACTTAGATGATCTTGTTGATAATTTTACAACTTCAATGCAAACTTCACTTGATAAAATTGCTCCACTGAAAAAGCAAGTAATCATTCAGAGGAAACTGGCTCCTTGGTTCCATTCAATTCTGAGTTACGTTACGTACTTTAAAACAGGCATCTAGAAAACAGGAAATGAAAATGGCGCTCCACTAACATTGAAGAATTGTATTTATCTTGGAGAAATAGCCTGCTAACATATAAGACAGATTGGATAAGGCACCTAAAAGGCTGATTACAGATATCACGTCAACATATTTGTTTGGTGCCAAGATAGGTTTTACACTAGCAACATTTCTAACAAACAAAAAAAATATGTGGATAAGAATGAAGGCCAAGGCTCAGAGATATTCAGACTGTTTCTCTCTTCATAACTTATCCTCCTGTTGATGCTACTGCAATAAAACAGTCAACCGGCCCAGACAACATCCCCGAAAAAGTGTTGAAAGAATGTGCCAATCAGCTCTGTGAGGTGCTGGCAAACATCTTTTAACACCTCACTTACCCTGGAGACAGTTCCCATCTGCCTGAAGACTGCCACCATCATCCCAGTCCCAAAAAGCTCTACAGTGACTGGTCTGAATGAGTCCAGCTACAGGCAAGAGGTGGAACACCTGGAGAGCTGGTGCAAAGAGAATAACCTTCACATAAATGTGAAGAAAACAAAGGAGATGACTGTGGACTTCAGAAGGAACAAACACACCTACACCCCCCTAAGAGGATCTGCGGTGGAAGTGGTCTCCAGCTACAAGTACTTGGGTGTACACATGAATGACAACCTCAGCTGGAGCAACAACACCACCAGCCTGATCAAGAAAGCTCATCAGAATAACCTTCACATCAATGTGAAGAAGACAAAGGAGATGATTGTGGACTTCAGAAGGAACAAAAACACCTACACCCCCCTGAACATAAGAGGATCTGCGGTGGAAGTGGTCTCCAGCTACAAGTACTTGGGTGTACACATGAATGACAACCTCAGCTGGAGCAACAACACCACCAGCCTGATCAAGAAAGCTCATCAGAAACTCTACTTCCTCAGAAGGCTGAGACGAGCTGGACTGGGAAGCTCAGTCCTCACCTCCTTCTACAGGTGTGCAGTGGAGAGCATCCTGTGCTCCAGCATCAACGTGTGGCATGGAGGCTGCACAGCTGCAGAAAGAAAAGCTTTGCAGAGAGTGGTGAAGGCTGCACAGAAGTCTGTCGGAGTCAACCTCCCCACCATCACAGACATCTACACCTCCAGATGCAGGAAGAGGGCCACCTGCATCATGAAGGACCCCACTCACCCAGTACACACACTTTTTTGCCCCGCTCCCCTCAGGAAGGAGGTCGAGGAGCATTAATTGTAGAACCACTAGACTGAGGAACAGCTTCTACCCTGAAGCTGTTAGACTTATGAATCTCTAACCAGAATAATCACTGTGAAGAATCGCATCATATTGCTGCTGATCTGTTTCAGTGTTGCTGCTGATCTGTTTCAATGTTGGTGTGTTCGTGCATGCTCATCTGCTCACACGGACTCATGTTCATGTTTGTGCTGATGTTCGACATGATGTTTTTATGTTATTAGTGCTTAGTGTATATTTAGTTGATGTTTTTCTTAGTTAATATCTTGGATGTTATCATTGTTTTTCTTTTACATTTTATTGTTGGACGTAACTGGGACACTGTGTACATAATTTCACTCCACCACATGTACCACATGAGGTGCAAATGACAATAAAGAAACTCTGACTGACTCTGAACTTAATGAACAACTATTAAACACAAAATTCACAGAGAACGCGCCAGAGTTCAGTCACTTTACAAGCGCAACATGGCATCACATCCTTCATAGACCATCTGCTTTCTTGGCAGTCTTAACAGTTCCAGTGGTGAATCTTTTTTCTGTGACTCAGATAAAAATTAAATTATGAAAAATGTAACATTTTTGAAATTACTAGTGACCTGTTTACTATTTTGCTCAGTGTCCTCCTGACTGGGCCGACTTGTTTGCAATTGATGCTACCTAAAATCAGAAAATGTAAATGTTGGTCTTTTTGATGCAGTAGTTTCTGCTGTTGACTTTAACGTTGTTAAAATGTTCTACTTTTGTTATATATTGCAGTGGACCAAGAACAGGTTGCCTCATGTTGTGTTTTGTATGCTCATCTTTACACAGATATAAGTCTGTTCGATGAACTGGATAACTTAGGGGATGCCGATGAGCTGCTTGAAGCCCTCGAGAGCGGTAGCTATGTGAGTAACTCTGTAAAATTAGTCTGATCAATCATATTTGAAGGGTATAGAATGTAACGGAAAGAGAATAACCCAAACTACTGGCATGAAATAGAAAAAAAAATGTTTCTGATTGAACGCATCTGCTTTATACAGTAGACTGACTATGGTACACCATTTTAGGTTCTTTACTGTATTCTCCATGAGGTTAATTTTTATTTTTAAATATGTTTGGTTCTGCAGGCTAACGAAGGTCCAGATCTGTATTTTGACATTGACATTCCACCTTGGAATGAAACTGATGCACGCAGCACTTGTGCAGGTAAAGTAACACGTGTTAATGTGTGTCACATTTTGGCACAAAGTACTATTTTATTAACACTGAAAAGGATGATTGGATATTATTTTGTATCCAGCTTTTAGTTTAATGTACTAATATGTCATTGCTGCATATTGACATCACTCTTCGTGATCAGTATTGTTCATATTATCTTCCACTTAGAATGTTTACTGATGGTGTACTATTGTAATATTCTGCACATCTTATTTTTTTACGGGGCTTTTATAAGTTAGCATGAAAATAAGTCGAGTGATATGAAGTGTTGGGACTTGTAGTTAACGATAAGTTGATGACCTGACAGTTTTATGACATTAGATGACCTGACACTTGGCGTCTGTGTCCTTGTGCATCCAGATGGTGAGATGAGTGTGGACTCTCTGTCACCTGCCCACACTCTGAGCTCTGTCCCCTCTCCTGCCTCCATGGAAGCCTTGTCTCCTTCCTCCTTACTAGTAAGACATTTTTTTCAACTCTTTGCTCTTTCCAGCTTTCTGTCCTTGGACTGAATTTGTAATGTAAATGTTTGCGATCGTTATTAGTTTGAGTATTTGCATATGTGCTAATCAGTTGAATTCACTTGGTTTCTGTAGCACCAAGTCGCAACAGAAGTTGTCTCAGGGCACTAAACAAAAACATTCACATACATTTAAAAAGCCAATTACCGGTAGTCAAAGTTATCTGTCTAAGGAAAACGTTGGTTACGTACTGTAACCCCAGATTCTATGAGTATAAGCGTAGCCCTTTAAGGCCTTCGCTTTAGTGGGTTTATCCCGTTATGCAGAGCATAAGCACTGAAAAAAATTAGTCCACGCCCACCTGCTGTGTGGGCCCCACCCGGTCCGTATAAATTACGTTAAGAGCGGGAAATCGGCTCCCAAAATAGCTTTTTTCTTCAGCCATTTAGGAGCCAGTGAGGCCCGACGCTTAAAGGGCTACGCTTATACTCATAGAATCTGGGGTTACAGTACGTAACCAACGTTCTATGTCGTATAAGCTTCGCCCTTTAAGGCCTTCGCTTTAGTGGGTAAAGGGCGAAGCCGATGTGGTCCTCGCCTCACTGGGTCCATTCGAACACAGTAAGAAGCGGAAGCTTGCCCAAAAAAACGTCTTGTCACCCAGCTCCCCGTGTGCATAAACTACGCATCGCGTAATTATGTGCCATGCACAGACGCATGTTGAGTAACTATGCGTTCTGACAAGCATGAATACCCCGGAAAACTTTCAACGGGAAGAGGAAGTTGAAAAGAGGGGGGGGAGGGGGGCATGAACCAACTGGTTCATGGCTGAACAGTATAAACAGATTAATGTCCATGAATTGATAAATAATCAAATGAACTGATTGGTAACAATAATCATGAACTGATTAGTGACAATAGAACCAGAAACACAGACACGACTGTGACTGATAACAACATCTCACACTGTAATGCGTGCAGACAGAAGTGAGCTTAAACAGAGTTCCATGAGAACAACAATATTCATTCTGTTAGAGCACTAAGGACAGAATGTGTCATGGAACGAGCCGTTACATCACGTAGGTAAAAGCGAATAAATGAGCAGGGTGTTGACCATGCAGCCGCAGTGCAAATGTCCTGCATTGACATACCATTATGCAGAGCAGTCGAAGATGCGATACCCCTGGTCGAATGTGCTTAGAGGTTGACAGGAGGCCCTAAATCTGATGCTCTGTAGGCTTCAGAAAAGGCCTCACACAGCCAGTGTGACAAGCGCTGGATGGATAACGGCGACCTGCAGAAGCATCTCTATAATGCACAAACAATTGTTGAATTTGAACGCATTGCAGCTGTGCGCGTTACGTAACACGTCAACGCCTGCACCGGGCAGAGAAGATGAACAGATGCTTCCCCTTCTGATCTGTAGGAGGGAAAAACCCCTCCAACGATATCACTCTTGATTTAAAAGAGCTCGTGATGTTTTAGGCATAAAAGCTGGGTTGGTCTTAAATCAGCTGAGCTGCCCGTCAGCCTAATTCTAAGGCATGACGAAGCAACAGAGAGGGCAGATAAATACTTACCCTCTTAGCGGGTGTTAAAACCAGCAACAGGGCTGTTAAAAGAGACAAGAATTTAAATGAAACCTGATCCAGAGGCTCAATTGAAGCTTTGATCAGGGCTCGCAGGACCAGCGTTAAACCCACTGTGGAACAAGTGGGCGTGAAACAGGCCTACATCTCTGTACACCTTTTAGAAAACGCTTCATCAGCGGGTGATAAAAGCTGTTCTGTCTCCAAACCCTTTGTGGCAGGAAGAGATGGCTGCAATCGTACGTTAAAACGTACTGAAAGCCAACTCCCTATCCATCAGCTGTTGTAGAAAAACAACACGCCGCCTAAAAGGCATGAAGTGGTCTCTAAACCTTCTCTGTGCACCAGCGCTGAAAAGCCGTCCCCTTGATGTGTACAGAACTGTGGTAGATGCAGCACGTGAATCTTGAATTGTGCACATTATCTCCTGAGGGAGACCCATCCTCTAAGTGGAACCGCTCAGCGGTCAGACCCACCGGTGTTGACCTATTTCTGGGTAACTCTTGGTCGCTCCTCCTGCCTGAAGGAGAGCATCCTTCCTCCATGACAGTTCCACGGCGACCCAACAACAGACGTTGCAGGCCTGGGAACCATAGTGCGTTCACACGCCGGGAGCCACCAGGAGAGCTGTCAATCCCTCCTCTTGAACTCGGTTCATGGACCGTAAAAAACAGAGGAGGTGGGGGAAAAGAAACGCGTAAAAAGCGTTTTGGGCCACCGACTGTGAGCAAATGCGTCCCCCCCCAGCGATGGATCGTCTCGCGGGCTCAGGGAAAACCATAGTTGACATTGAGCGTTCTTCTCGCATCGCAAACAGGTCCACAGCTGCTTTGCCAACTTCTGCTGCGTCTGAAAACATCAGATCCGGATGGAGGATCCGGTCCACGTAACGTGGGCCGCCCTTGGACGTCACATCAGAACACCGGATATGTAAACCGCTCTAATAAAAGCAGGTTTTGATGAACCCAACTCAGTAGCTTTCGCACAATGTGTAACATCTGGGCTGAACGCACACCCTGATGGTTATGTACGCAGCAGTCATCATGATGTCTGTGTGAATCAACACGTGTTGATTCTGTAGCACAGGAGCAAGGTGTTGAATCACATTCAGTACTGTGCGACACTCCAAAACATTGATGTGGGCTGATGTGTAGTGGAGCCACAGCGCCCCTACTGCTTGAGATAGGTATGTCCCCCCCCCCCAGCCTGACAGCAACGTGTCCGTGAAGACTGACCCATGACGTGGGTCTGCTGAGGGGGACTCCCTCTGATAGAAAAACAAGGTGTTTCCCCAGAGTCGGAGGTCTGCTTCCACAGAGGAAAAGACAATGATCATCCGTCGTTTGTTTTACTGGATCCACATGCAGACGTGCAAAAACACCTCTAGAGGCGTCTCATGTGATAAATGAGTTTTCATGGTGGTTGAATTTAATTCCACTCCAGAAAAACAAATGTCTGGGCCGGGAAAATCGAGCTTCCTTCCACTTATGGCGAAGCCCAGATTAACAGGTGTGATGTCAACACCTGATCCTGCATCAGCGCCTCCTGTCTGAAGTGACAGGATCCGCAGATCATCCAGGTAAAGCAAAAAACTCTCGTCTCTGTGTTTTAGGATGATCGGTATGCGTTCTCTGGATGTTAAACAACAGATCCAAGAACGGTCTCACCCCTCCGATCCGTGAGTAAAACCCTCGTGTTTTCTCTCCCTTGGGGAACTCTGTAGATTACTTTTATCAGAAAACACTTGGATTTCTGCATTTAGGGAAGAGAATCAGTCTGATGATGATGACGGGACCGTTTATATAACTCCTCTGAATGGAGGGGTTCGGGTTGCAAACTGTAACTTGTACCATTTGCATAAACCCTGTCCCTCCATCTGAAAAACGGCGAGCATGTTTAGCCACTCTACGTAACGTTCGTGGATGAACGTGCGTTAATGATGCGTCATGTTTTGTACGGCTGTCAGCAGTCCGTCCCTCAACCGCCGTCATGCGTCGCGGGAATGTTTTCTGTGTGACCCCGGGCGAGACTTGAGCTGAAGGCGAAGCATGTGACAGCTGATGACGCGGTAAGCTGCGCGTTTGACGTCGCTGTGCGAACGTTGAAAGGCGGAGGGCGTAACTTCATTTACACCGTGCTGTTGGAGTGAAGGCTGCTTAGCGTTTAAGCTGCGGTGAGCTGCCGAAAGCTGAGAGAGAAGGACCCCCACCCGGACCAGCCTGCGGACCACATTTATACCGATGTGAGCTGGTTAGCGCCGGCAGCTGTGTGCGCCAGCATCAACGCAGCACCGTTGAATGGAGGCTGTCATCTTAGTGTTCGACTCGTCATGTCAAGAGCGGCGGTGAATTAAAAACCCTATTTAAGGACACCGGCTCATGTGGAGGCTGTTCCATCCCACAAATGCGAGTTGACACCGCTTGAGTGAGGATCATGCAGTTCTAGTTGGTAATGAGTTATTTTCGCTTACCGTTGTGCCGTGATCGACCCGTCATGTCTAGAGCGACGGTGAGTTTAAAAAACCTTTATTTAAGGACACCGGCTCATGTGGAGGCTGTTCTGTGATCGACTCGTCATGTCTAGAGCGACGGTGAGTTTAAAAACCTTTAATTAAGGACGCCGGCTCATGTGTGGAGGCTGTCCTGTGATCGACTAGTCATGTCTAGAGCGACGGTGAGTTAAAAACCTTTAATTAAGGACACCGGCTCATGTGTGGAGGCTGTTCTGTGATCGACTCGTCATGTCTTAGAGCGACGGTGAGTTAAAAACCTTTATTTAAAGACACCGGCTCGTGTGTGGGGCTGTTTCATCCCACGAGTGCGCTCTTATGTGTGCGGCTGCTGTGAGCTGATCCGGGCTTACAGACTGGCTAAAAAACAGACACTTGGATCATTAATGATGATTTATTTCAACTTTCGTGTCACTTTTACACACACCCTCCGGAGACCGTCATTTGAGAGCTTTCTCTCTCATGAGCTCTGCGATTGTTTGCCCAGAGCGCTGTCTTGCAGGCGAACTCTGGGGAAACGCTGAGCTGCAGGCTGCCGGAGTGCAGAGGGCTGGATTCTGACGGGCGGGGCTGGTGGTGGAACTCAGCGAGAGCCGCGGCCGTGGAAAAGTCGAAAACTTGCTCGCGACGGTCCCTCCAGCGGGGACGGGGTGGGCCGCGCGGCTTGATGAGGTGGCGAACAGCTTTTGGCACCTCCTCCGACTGTTTCACTTCGCCAGCATGGTTTGAAGCTGCTCTGAACAGCGCGTCCGCGATGGGCTTCATCAGGTCTTGTGCAGATTCTCCGGCAGCGAGGGGAGTAACGAAGCCAGGTGGATCGTTGGGTCATCGTCCTCCGCGCTGCAGTCCCCGACAAGGCAAACCGTGGGAGAGGCACACATGTTGAGCTGGCGTCAGCT